AGTCTAAACTTGTAGGTGTGTGTGCAAAATGCATGTGAAATCGTTTGCTGTTTGCCTGTGCGTTTATTGCAGTTGTGTGTGCAAAGTGAGTGTGTGAACAAACTGTGAATCACACTGATTTTTCACCTCTAGCTTCCCCATTTTTGCACATAAAGTAATTTTATAGGCAGATTAGTCCTGCAGTTTCCCCCCATTTTGCATACATAGATTATTCACATGAACTGTATGAAAACCACGTCTTCCATGATTTCCATAAACCCAGGCCATAAGTCTGTGACAGAGCCAAATAGGGCCAGATTCCCTGACTCCCAAGTCCCGTGTTTTAAGGCAGAAGACAGTCCTTTGGCCTGGTCCAACTGCAGAAGTTTGGAGGCCTGGTGTGAAGCAGAAGGAACGCCTGCAACATGTCAGGAAGTTGGGGAGAGTTGAACGGCCTGGTGATATATTAGTCTAACTTAATTTTTTTCAGATAAAAGCAGGATAAAATGAAGAATTAATTAGTCCTGAGAGATTGTAGAGCTGGGGTGACTGCGTGTGACTGGGAAAGGTTTAAAAATAGAAGAAAGGCCAAGTGGGAATGTTTCTGCAGCATCATAAATCAGGCATTTGGTGATTACACAGCCCTGCCAGGCTGGGCGCCTTTGCTAGAGCCATCACCACGGTTTCCTCCACAGACCTTTCCCACTGACCTCCCTTACACTTTTCACATGACTTCGCAATGGGCTGGTTTTCTGAGATTAGCCCATTGGTTTCCCTGAGACACTGAAGAAACAAAGTTGTGTTCAGACCATGTTCAGCTGGGAGAGTTGGGGAAAGTGCGGTGCAGGGGCTCAGTCTCTCTCCCCACTAGCAGCAGCAGAGCAGAAACTGATCGTAGACAGGGTTGGATTTTTCGGAACAGGCCTATAGTGTCCCAGGACACGAGATCTGGGATGCCAAGAGGCTGGAGGGGGTCCCTCCCTTTCCATACTCATTTTTGTTTCTAATTGCTGCGTGGCCAAAGCAGCAAAACCACGTTACCTCTTTCCTCTCGCCCTCCGTTCCCTGCCTCTGCTTTGCCGAAATACAGCTGAACAAGTCCACCTTTTGTGCAGAATCAGTATTGCAGCCTAGTCAGCAAGGAAGGTGAGAGATGGCTGGGAGTCAGAAGACTTGGGAAGCTATTCCTGGCTTTGCCACGGACTCATTGTATGACATTTGGCAAGTCATGTGGGGCCTGATTTCTCAGTGTGGGAAGTCCACGGGCATTGTGGTGTTCAGACCTTCTGGAAATCAGGCGATTTACCCCTCTGGGCTTCAGTTTCCCATCTTTAAAAATGTACCTCCTCTGAGTGCCATGGGGTGTCATTCATTGAGCTTTTCCCAGCTGTTACAGAAGCCTGGATTGAAGGTGTCACGGAACAGAACCAGAATTAATGAGGATGTTGATACACAAACTAGTGGTCACATTTCATCTTACTGCGTTTCTCCCACTGTGTGCTGGAGAGTGGATGTAACTAACAAGGCCCTGCCGCTGTGAAGCTTTTCCCCTCTGCGTTTGTCTGTTGGGCTTGGAGGAGAGTCGCAGCTAAATACATTGTTCTGTTTTCATAAACCCACTGCCGACTCTGATTAGGGCTCGGTTATCCTGTGCATGCTGTCTAGGGAACAGCTAGGCAACAGGGCTCAGGCTTTGATTTACAATGTGTGATCTTCCCATAGGAAGAGAGGAGATGACCAGTCTGGTTAATGCCAGAGTGGGCTCCGCAGGGTGAGTCAGAGCTAACGTATAATACTGCTTGGGCACTGCTGCTGTGGGCTGGGTCGCCTGTCTGGGCGCTGGCTCATGCACGAGAACCCAATATGGCTTTTAAGGGCTGCTGTCCTCTGAGCAAGTCTGGAGTTCTGGTCCTACCCCTCCTCCCACCCTCCAATAGCGAAGGGTGCATGAGTGGTGGACAAAGGATGTCCAGGCCCTTGAGTTACTGTTTTGGCTGTACAGCATGTCTGAGAAGGGCCATGTGTTTCTGGCCCTGATTGTACCAGGATTTCTCTTCCCCACCACCTCACTCCCAAAGACTCACTTGATCTGAACTGAGGCAGAGTTCTTGTTTCCTTGGCTATGGTTTGACTTTCTCCTTATTGCTCTCTCCTCTCTCTGCTCAGATGCCTGCCAGATACAGAGATTGTTCTCAATATCCCCTTAGAGGAGAAGGTTTTCGTTTAGTCCCAGAAGCTTTGGACCTGAAGTGGAAAGGTGGGTGGATGGGCCAGGCCTTGCCCACAGAGCTATGTCATCATAGAACGCAGCTGGGCCAAGAACAGGATGAGGAGCTGTACAACAAATCGCCCCCTCTTCATGGACAAGTTCTCCAAACCATCCCAGTTCTCAGGAAGTTCTGCTCTGTGCCGCTTTTGGTTTGTCAGGACAAACAAGTTCCATCACAGAACAATATGCAGGACTCATTGTGTCATCGTCATGCCAGATCCAAGCTGGGTAAAAGCCAGAAAACGGCCATCTCGCTAGAAGGAATATGGTGCAAAATTCTATTAAAGCAGCCAGGTGTGATCCCAAACGGGATCGTTGATGAGGTGTCACTATTGTCAACAGCCCTTTCCCAATCTCACATTCTTACAGCGCTACCGAGTGTCATTGGTGTCAGCCACCTACCGATAAAACGTCACAGTTCCATGGGGTCAGATTCATTCCTGAAGCCCAGGGGAGTTCTATCCGAACAAATTTGGCCTTTTTATCCTTCCCAGTAAAACGCCTTTGTACAAGATACTTTTATCAATATTTTGATTTCTGATGAGCTGAAGCCCGGACCCAGGATGAGGTCTTTAGTAATGGAACAATGAGCAGCTATCACTAAGTGCCCTCCAGCAGCTGCCTGTCAGAACAATTGCATCCCCATCAGCTATAACACATGTCAGGTCAGGGGGACAGAATGGTGACACAGGATGCGGATCTTCCACTTCCAGTGTCTGTACAAATGCTTGCCGTTCCTAGCAGCCGGCGTCGCTTGCCCTATGGCCGTAGTGGAGTCCATCCCATCCCATCCCTGTCTTGCTTACGGTTGAATGGTTCTGACAGTATTCACTCTGGGAAGTCTACCAGTTGATGGATAACTGTGTAGCATGTTTAACCTGCAACTTTCAATCTACATTTTGAAATAAAAATGAAGTGGGTCTTTCATTTGTAACTGAAGTTTCATCCTGTCAGAATAAATCTCCAGGCACCTTTTATTATTTGTCAAAAATAATAGCACTTTTCACTTCAGTCGTATGGATCAGGCCGGGATCTCAAAGTGCTTTACAGCCACTAGTAAATGTAACCTCACAGCCTTGCTGACACAGAGCCAGACTAGCTGGCTAGGTTCTCCTCCAGCCCCATCCCTGTAAGATGGGAGCCCGCCTCACTTCCCGTAATGATCAGAATGATATTTCACGTGCACCTCTGAAAACCTTACTCCTGGAGGTGTGTGGGTGAGGCTAGGGCAGGGATACGTACCCGTTCCTCTCAAGTGCTCTGGGATTGGTGGAGGAGTATTACAGTGTACGAGTCCCACTCCTTACTTGGTGAAATAACCATACCTTCTGTCGCTATTCAGTCTGCCACTAGATGGAGCCTGGCAGCAGCTCAGCAGATGGAGAAATCAAATATGAATATCAAGTGATTAATAGAAAACTCCCAGAGCCAAAGTGCTGGGGGAAGGGGTTTCCCTGCCGACTAGCAGAAAATGAGCCCTGGAGAGCAGGCCTGGTACAGGGGCTGTCTCACCCATGGAAGGTGGGAAGTGCCCTTTGATAGGGGATGGACTTTCAAACACAGGAGGAGAATCTCCTCCAAGGGTGGCAGGCTGAAGAAGAATCCTGCTGAGTTGTTCCTTCTCCATTTTTTCACTCCTGGAGAAAGCTGCCCTGTAAGGAATCGGAAAGCCCAGGAGCTTGGACCGGGGCTGCAGCCTGAACCAGACCCACAGTAGGAGCTGGCTTCCCAACACCAGCCCCTAGTGCACCCAAAGTGGGGCCTTTGCACCCAGATTCGTCCCTGGGGGGCCTGATCCAGCTCTGCTGAAGTGAGAGCCCTTGGCTGGGCCCCACCATAGCGGGGACCAGACAGGAATCACGGTGTGTGTTGACAGTGCCCTAGCCTCACCCACACACCTCTCAGTGTTGGGCTGAGAATGCGAATCGACTAAGGACTGGAAAGGAAGGAAGGAAGGTGCTTAGAGTGGTAGCAGCCAAGGTGACAGGAGGCCTTCTGATGTGTTACAGCAGCTCTTCGTGCAGTAGTCTGTCAAATCTACAGCCCCGTGTTACACGGCAGGATCACCGACACGACCACCCAGCCCTGGGGAGCAGAGTGCCAGGACCACCGAGGGGACTGGCACACACTTGGCTGGGGAAACAGCTCAGGCAGCCTTCCAAGGATCATCCTCCTGTCTGGCCACTTCATTTGCTGGCTCTGTCTTTGCCCCCTACGGGGATGCGGAAGTTACCCCAGTCCTAGGGATGGTATTAATTGCCTGGGGCAACAGGGTCTGGAGAGGGATAGTCCAGGGCTATGCTGTGTGCTGGAGGTATAATCTTCGCTCATGTCATGTGGGGGGGTGTCTAGAATGATGCCCTGAGATTATTAGGCCTGAAGGGGCAGGTCCCTGAGGCAGGGGCTGTGGGCGCTGCAGTGGAGTGGATGCCCTGGTGACGAGATCCAGCTGGGGGTGTGGAAGTCAGGGGGCTCAGGCTGGGGTGGGGGGGGGGCATATACCCGTGGGTGCTGGGGGAGGGGATGGGCATTGGATTCAGCCTGGGGCAGAAACAAGGAGGAGGCCGGTGGCACCTTAAAGACTAACAGATTTATTTGGGTATAAGCTTTCGTGGGTAAAGAAACCCACTTCTTCAGATGCAAATAAACGTTCGTCTTTAAGGTGCCACCGGCCTCCTGGTTGTTTTTGTGGCTACAGACTACCAGGGCTCCCCTCTGAAGCCTGGGGCAGGGTGTTCGGGTGCTGGAGAACTTGATCGCCCGGTGTGGGCCCCTGGCCCCTGGGCTAGGGCAGCTGATCCCCGGCACAGAGCTCAGACCCCTGGCCTGGGGGGAACAGCCTTGGGCTGGGCCAGTGACTCCCTTGGCGGATTGCGGGGCGGACCTTGGAGGCGCTGGGTTTGGGCAGGGGTGGATCCCGCGGCGCTGGCCCGGGCTCGGGGAGTGGATTCCAACTCCGCCCGCTCTGAGCGGCACCGGGCGGGCAGGGGAGGGTCCCGGGACCGGCCGAAGGGGGCTCCACCTCCCAGGGTTTAAAGCCCTGCGCTCGGCGGCTGCGGCGCTACGCGATGAGGCAGGGGAGCTCCAGCGGCCGGGCGTTGGGTTCTGCGGGCTGCGGGCGGTCGGGGGCCCCCGGACAGCGGCTCCGGTGAGCCGGGGAGCGCGGAGCAGCAGCGGGGCCGGCGCCGAGGTGAGCGGGCTGAGTTGTGCGAAGAAACTTTCCGCTGCGGGGGCCGAGAGCTGGGGCGCACGGGAGCGCAGCGACCCCCCGGCAGCCCGCGCTGTCCTGGCCCCCTCCCGGCGTTCAGCCTTGGCCGGAGACTCTCCACCCCGGGCGCGCCGTTCCCCGCTCCCTCGGCTGCCTGGCTCGGCTCCCCTGCCCCAGCGGGCTGCCCTCCTGCGCGGTGCCCTTTCCCCGGCAGGACCGGGCTCCGGGCTGCGCCGCCCGCGGCCGCCAATGGCTCCGCTCCCAGGGCCGGAGCGGGACCCGCGCAAGGAGCCTCCGAGCCCCGGAATTGGGGCCGCATCCCGGGTGGGGCCGGACTCCTTGGAGGAGCCTCGAACCCGGGGCAGGTGCGGAGAACGGGCGCTTGGCGCTGCCTGGCCCGGGTGGGAGGACGCTGTGTCTGTCGGGATCGCCTCCCTGCCCCTCCTGTGCGCTGCTCCCCAGGCTGGTACAATGGTGCCTGTGCCATGTGGTGGAGGTTGGCACCGCTGTCCCCATGGCATCGGGACTCTTGGGGGTTTGGTGCCAGGCTGAAATTCATAGGGTGGGGAAACCAGGCCGGGAAAGCGCATGGGACAGCGCTTCCTCCCTGTCCTTACCCGACACAGAGGGGCGAGGGTCTTTCATGGGCCAGTGCCAAGCTGGCAGCTGTGGGTCCCACCCTAAACCCAGCCCCTTCCCAGCAGGTGAGATCGGCGAAGGGAACATTTCCAATCCCTCTCCTCCATGGATCAGCCGCCTTGCCCTTCTGCCTCTCCTTTATTCCTTCCATCTGGCCTGAATAAAACCCTTCCCACGCTGCTGGGACCCTACTTGTGTCCCAATCCCAGCTGGGTGAAAGGGCGCTGGGTGTGGGCAGCAATCAGACCCCCCTCCTGCCTCCCCCCACACGTTTGCCTTCCTTGCTCTGGAGCTGAAGCAGAGACGGGCTAACACCCAGGATCCACCGGGCTTTGAAGAGTCTTTGGCTCCAGATTTTTTTTTCCAGTTTAAAAGTTGTTTGGCTGAGACAACGCAGGGCGGCTGGGGAGTGCGTTAGGAGACCGGGATGATTTATGTTTGTTTCTTCTGGGCCTGCCTCCAGTCAGGAGCCAACCGAAGTGGAACTGAAAACGATCCCCTCTGTACCTAAGGTGAACGTAATCAAACTCCGAGGGCACCCAGGGGTGGGGCGGGTCCAGTCCTGGAGAATCCCAGGCAGAGCAGGGCGAGGAAAGGCAGACAGGGACCTCCAGCTCCCCAGCACAGCGCTCGCCTCCAGACTTCCTTCCACAAGCCCGTCGCTCGGCCTTTTCTGTTTTGCAGAAGATGACTCTGAACACGCAGCAAGGGGGCAAGGGCCCTGTGTGCAGACGGGCCAGCACCCCGGTCCCCCTCTCCCACCAGGCCAGGCCAGGGATGCGTGAGCTGAGGCCTAACCCCAGTGAGTCCCATCACCCTCCACTTGGCTACTCCTCATCCTTCGAGCCTGGAGACAAAGCTCCCGTCATGCCGCGCAGCAGCTGGTCATCGGACTCAGCCGACTCTGACAGCTCCTGGGAATCCTTGTATCGGGTGGTGCTGCTGGGTGACCCTGGTGTGGGCAAGACCAGCTTGGTGAACCTCTTTGCCGGGATCCAAGAGCGGGACCTGCCGGAACAGCCAGGAGGTAGGGGCCCTGCCCTGGGGGAAATGCAGCGTGGGTGTCAAGCCGGCTGCCCCAGGTCTTCCTGGGGCTCTGCGGAATGAAATGCTCTTGAGGGCCATGCGGGGCAGAGGTTGGGGTGTGGGAGTGGGTCACAGCGGGCAGAAGCCCTGTGTAAACCCAAGCCAAGGGGCACAGTGGAGAGGCTGCACTGACTGCTTGGGAGCAGGGCAGAGCCACTGCTTAGCAGCGAGGAGCGTGCCGCCAAACGTGGGAAACGTGCCCCCAGTGCCGTTCCCCATCTCTGGGGCTGGGCAGGGGGAAGTTAGCAGGGCACAGTGCCAGCTGAGAGCCACCGGTGGCTCAGTTCTGATGTACCTACTGTAGGTAACACTGTGCACCCCCTTGAAAACTGGGGGGTCCTTAGCTGTGGATTTCAGTGGGTTTGAGATGGAAACATGGGAGGGAGGGAGATTGTTCTGACACGCATCAGGGGTCAGCCGCCTGGGTCCAGTCAATGCCAGTTGTCCAGCTGCCTGCTGGAGCCTCGGTACCTTTGAGCCTCCCCACAAGCCAAAAAATAACCTGGCAAGGGGGATGAGTGAGTCCTGAACCTGGGAAGAGCCGTGAGATGCCCCAGCACCTTCCCCTCCTTCCAAGCACTAAGGCAGGAGAGTAGCCAGGCATCGCCCTGGACCTCACCACTTTCCCACATCCTTCCATGGTGCTGGCTGGTTGGTAGCTTTAGTTCCTCGCCTAGAGGATCAGTTGTGTTTTCCATGCCCTGTGTTTAGCCCCACCACCCTGGGGTGCTGCCTCCTCCCAGCCTGAGCAGCCAGCAAACTCTCCCTCTGTGGTGTTCAGCGGCCCTGGGCCTGGGCTGGAGGCCCTGCTGGGCACGCGGAGTCTGGCTGACTTGGATGCATCTGGCTTGTTTCAGAGGACGCCTACGAACGCACCCTGTCGGTGGATGGGGAGGAGACCACGCTGCTGGTGATGGACACCTGGGAAACAGAGAGGCGGGTAGGGGAGCGTGCATGGGGCGTGGCAATCACAGGGGCTGTCTGTGGGTGTGGGGGAGGTTACCTTTTCAGTGAAGTGGGTTCTGTTGATAGACTGGAGCGATTTATTATAGGGTCTATTGCTGTTGTAAATGCCACAATGAACTTGTATGAACATAAGAACGGCCCTACTGGGTCAGACCAAAGGTCCATCTAGCCCAGTATCCTGTCTGCCGACTATGGCCAGTGCCAGGTGCCCCAGAGGGAATGAACAGAACAGGGAATCCTCAAGTGATCTATCCCCTGTCGCTCATTCCTAGCCTCTGGCAAACATCCATCCCTGTCCATCCTGTTTAATAGCCATTGAGGACCTACCTTCAATGAATTTTTATCTAGTTCTTTTTTGAACCCTGTTATAGTCTTGGCCTTCACAACATCCTCTGGCAAGGAGTTCCACAGGTTGACTGTGCGTTGTGTGAAGAAATACTTTGTTTTATTTGTTTTAAACCTGCTGCCCATTAATTTCATTTGGTGACCCCTAGTTCTTGTGTTATGAGAAGGAGTAAATAACAGTTCCTTATCTACTTTCTCTACACCAGTCATGATTTTATAGACCTCAATCAGATCCACCCCTTAGTTGTCTCTTTTCCAAGCTGAACAGTCCCAGTCTTATTAATCTCTCCTCAGATGGAAGCCGTTCCACACCCCAAATCATTTTTGTTGCCCTTTTCTGAACCTTTTCCAATTCCAATACATCTTTTCTGAGATGGGGCGACCACCTCTGCACGCAGTGTTCAAGATGTGGGCGTACCATGGATTTGTATAGAGGCAACGTGATATTTTCTTTCCGTTATCTACGGCCGGCTGTGTGTCCATGCCCACCGGTGCATGAGACAGGGCTGCAGGGACAGACCCTCCTGCTGGACCCTACGTCCACCAGGCCCCACTTTCGCTTTCTGGGGAGCTGCTCTGGCCACTGTGTGACGTCCCCAGCAGACTGTGGTCACTGCTCCCGTCGGGCTGTGGCTGGAGAGGGGAGGTCAGGGTCAGCAGCCAGTAAGGGGCTGAGGGTGACTTCCCCAGTGGAAAGCTGACTGGCTCATCAGGTGGCCAAGGGAGGAGCTTAACACCCCTGGGAGCTGGAAGGAATCTCCCCCCCCCCCAAGCTGGGGGTTAACTGCTGTGGGAGGAAGCAAGGGCTTGAGTCGGCTTCTCTTTCCAAAATGTGGCAATTTTAAACTCTGGGGGGTGACTCCGGACAGACCCAACTCCCTGTCCCCCCCGAGCTCCCCACAGAGCGGATGCTCCAAGCTAGGCACTTGGGGCTGATTCTCCCACCTTCCCTCCGGCGTAGCTGCTGATGCACCTGCAAAGGGGGTGTCGGCTGCTGCCGGGGCAGAATGGCTGTGCTGGCGGAAGCGCAGACGCGAGGTGCCAGGCAGCGGGAGCTGGGCCCGAGACGTCCCCGGGGAAGGTGGAGAAACGTGCCAGATCCCCAGGCTGAGTGTGCTGGGAGGTGCTGGGGTTCGGTTGGCTCCTAGCTGTGCAGGAGCTGACGGGGCGAATGACGGGTGAGGAAA